CAATTTTCCATCGAATTATACAGACTACGAGACTACATTTTCTATAGTCTAAAAGTTATCGTAATACAGACTAATAATTAACCGATCCTAAATATACAATAGAAAGACATATCCATTATTCAAGTTTAGATTTTCTTTTAATACTAACAATGATTAGATGTGCGATATTGGGATGTTAATCAAATGCGGGTTTTATCTTCCAGCGACGATATAACGGAAACAGTTTTCCTTTTCTTTTAAGGATCTGTGCTTATATGTGTTTACCGTTTTTTTTTTTTTTTCGGTTGGTATAACTCACCAAGATCGTCTATTTTCACGACAGTCTTCCCTGTGATGTTTGCCAATGATCTTGCATTAATTTATCAATGTCTCAAGGATGCATAATCCTTGCTGCAATCACTTGAGCAAGCAGCCAGCCAGGTAGGCCTCTATTGCAACGTGAGTAAGGCAGAATATATCACAACCTCCCCTGAACCGTCCAAGTTGAAGTCACTCAATAATACATTCATCAAATAGTTGAAGATTTTAAATATCTTGGATCTCACATAATCGATTCCCAAAATGACGTCAACATACGCTAAGCTCTTGCGTGGGATGCGTTTAACAAAATTCAAAATATTTGGCACTCGAACTCTCCATTCCGTTTAAAAATAAAAACCTGTAGAACATTGATCGAACTAGTCCTACTGTATGGATCAGAAACTTGGACATTATCTGTTTGTCCTCAAAGACGACTTGATGGATGTGGTGTATTATTTCTTTCTTTACAAGCGAGACTTATTATTATTATTATTATTATTATTATTATTATTACGCAGATCTTGAAAATGAATATGAAAATAAATGGGGCACATGAAGACATTCAAAATTGCAACTGTAGTAGGGGCCCTCGGATTGATTGGAAGAGTTTCCAATAGACACATTGAAGGGGCTCCTGGAGACCATATCATCAAGTAATACAAAATGTTTACTCATATATAGATCTCACACATTATGAAGGGGTTTATCTCTGTAAAATATATATGTTCTTCTTCTTCTTCTTCTTCTTCTTATTATTATTATTATTATTATTATTATTACTATTATTATTATTATTATTATTATTATTATATCATTTCTGAAAGTCTCAGATAGGTCGGTCGGTGTGTTGGTTGGTTAATTTTTTTTTTTTTTTTTTTTTATCTCCGATAATTATTACATAGACAAAGTTATGTTTCTATTTTTCTGTATGTCCTGTTTTTAAGATGGGGTTTCCAGGATTTATTTTTACGTAACTTTCAATGTGTTGTTTTGTTCCAAAATATGGTATTACCACTATTATTCTTATAATTTTTTCTATTTCCCTTCGTAATTGAGGTCATTTTGAATTTTTCATAGCACATATATGGGCATTTTTCCTGGTTTTTTTTCCCCGAGAAGCAAGTCCGATTTGGTCAATTTTTCTGTCTGTGTGGATGTAAAAAGAATGGTCCATCTTCTTTTCAACTCTCATGTTCAAGACATTTCCAAAGTGTCCCAGATTACTATCGTGACGATTTTATATTCATTTGGGGAGATTAATATTGGTCAGTCATCCTGAGATTAGATGGTCTTTGTTTCATTCACAGAACCTGCCTTTTGGATCCACATTATTATGTTATATTTTTAGCCTCGATCACTGCCCGCTCTGTGGAAGAATAAAGGAAAATGTCTCCATTTCAGAAATTGCTCGTAAATTTCATCGATGAGTATTAACTTTATCAACATTGATTTTCAATTCGCAATATTCCATGGAGGTTTGTTTGTTGTTTCATCTGTTCAAGGGCTTTATGATATCTTTTGCTAGTTGGTTCTTGGCTTTTTGATTATTATTATTATTATTATTATTTTATTATTAAATTTTATTATTATATCATTTCTGAATCTTTTTGACATTATCAATCTATGTCCGTTGTCTTTTCCATATGCCTTACCGAACACCCTCTCCCTTTTGTAACAGAATTGACATTTAATTTATAGATTTTGATATTCCTAGAAGGACGGTCACTGTTAGTCCCTTTTTCTCATAAGACATAGTGTCCTGATTACTTTCTTAATACAGTCTCGGTAGTTCATTCCTTATTTTCCTTATTTTGTTAATCTGAATGATCAAGCTCCATGAATTTTGTCTTCTCGATTTTTGTCTCATGGTGCTCGATGATATCATCAATATTTTCTTTTGTTCTACATACATTTCAAATTTCTTTTCATTTCTTTTGGACATTATCAAGTCCGTTGTTTTTATTTCCCTTCTTTTGAATTGGGTTTGTTCTTCTGTCCCCGCAGGATAGTTACATTTATTTTGTGTAACTGTGTCTATTTGGTGCCATTCATTATGGTTTCTATTGTTTTTCTTCTTCTTCTTCTTCTTATTATTATTATTATTATTATTATTATTATTATTATTATTATTGTTATTATTATCATTTTCTTTGATTCTGGCCTGATTGACTGGCGTTTCCACCACATTTCTTTCCGGTCCCCACCCCTAGGGACCTAAGGTTAGAAATGGCGTCATGACACTTTCCACTGACAAAAAAAAAAAAAAATTAAATTACATAGATAAAGCCCTTCGTAAGGTGGGGGCTGTACTTGTCAGAACAATTTTTTGTATCTCTTTGAGGCATGGACTTCCAGGAATCTCTTCAATTAGTCTACTACAATCTTTTCCAACCAGTCCTAGGGCTCCAACTACAACAGGGATTGTTGATGTTCCCATATGCCACATTTTCGAGATTTCTATTTCAAGGTCCTTGTACTTTGACAACTTTTGAATATCTTCAAAGATACATTGTCAGTAGGGACTGCCATATCAATAAGGAGGCACCGTTTTTGTTTGTGGTCTTTAATAAGAATATCTGTCCGGTTGGCCTTGATTGTTCTGTCAGTGTGTATTGTGTAATCCCATAGAATTGTAACAGGTCCTATCTCCGTAACCGGGTCTGGGTGGTGTTCATACCAGTTTCTTTCTGTTTTCTTCCCGTAGAAGTTGCAGATTTTTATTATTATTATTATTATTATTATTATTATTATTATTATATCATTTCTGAATCTCAGATATTTCGTTGGGTGATAATTATCATATCGTATCCCCCACTCGCATCTTAGAGAATCATGGCTCTCTGCAGCATAAGATTTGCCGTAACCTGTGTACCCCAAATAATCTTGAATATCCGAAGGTATCCTGTGAGGCAAAATGGCTCCTGGGTTAAGCATAAAAGTATCAACTTGCGCTGATGCTTCGTGAATTTTCATTATAGGTCCTTTTGTATTTTCGGCAGGGCTGTATTCACTTTGTCTCTAGCACAAGGCAATGCATCGTATAACAGGATCCATTCAATGTACATGTCATCTTTTTACAGTCCAGATGGACGTGTCAAACATGGGTTTTACTTGCTCCCTCAAAGTAATTAATATTGATATTTACATTTATTTTGATGATCTATTATTATTTTTTCTTTCATTCTGTTGTATGCACATAACCCCCGGGTCCCAACCAGAGATATAAGGTCAGAAAGGGATTCCTAATATTTTCCACCATCATTTTTGTAAAAACAAAAACATAAGAACATACACATTTTACAGAGATAAAACCCTTCATAATGGGAGCTGTGTATGTGAGTAATTTTTTTGAATTACTTTTAATGGCACCAACGGCTGATATAGGGTTCCAAATCCTTCAATGAGTCTATTGAAAATTTTTCCAATCAATCCGAGTGCTCCTACTACATTTAGAATTATGGATGTCTTTACGAGCCAGATTTTTTACATATCCATTTCAAGATCTTTGTATTTTGATAGTTTTTTGAGGATCTTCAGAGAAACATTAAGTTCTGCAGAGACTGCCATGTCAATAAAATGGCATATTCTGACTTTTTTTTTCTGGTTTCTGATCACAATGTCTGGACGATTAGCTTTGATTGTTTCGTCTGTGTGTATTGTAAAGTCCCATAAAATTGTTGCGGGTCCTATCCCGTAACCGGGTTTTGCGTGGTGCTCATACAAGTTTCTTGCAGTTGCCTTCCCGTAAAAGTGGCATATTGTCCATTGACGATATTGGCACACCCTATCGTTCTGAGTTTTATATTAACTGGGTGCTAACCCAGTGCAACCTGTTGCAAGACGACCAATAGTTTCTGCGTTGTATTATTATTATTATTATTATTATTATTATTATTATTATTATTATATTTCCTTTTATTTTTGGTGTGTACATATTCCTTTCCGGTTACCGCCGAGAGACCTAAGGTCAGAAATAAAGTCATAATATTTTCCCCTGATCAATTAAAAAAAAAACACGCATCTACATATTTTCCATGTATGAACCCCTTCGTAAGTTGTGGGCTGTACTCGTAAGAATATTGTTTTGTAATTCTTCAAGTCATGGGCTTCCAGTAATCCCTACAGTGAGTCTCCTCGAATATTTTCCAAACAATCCGATGTCTCCAACTACAACACGGATTTCTGATGTTCCTTGTGCCACATTATTATTATTATTATTATTATTATTATTATTATTCATTACCTAGCACAGGATTCCGTTATTCTGACAATCTTGTATTATAAGTTTCGCAATGAAGTCATTATGAGCTCATAGTGATCATATTGCGCAGTTCGTCGTAATGCCTATTTTGCAGGGCTGGATTATGAGGATTGATTCCAAACATTTCTAGGTTACTTTTCAAAATCCAGCAAATACAGTCCCATGTACAAATGCTTATCGATAATATGCTATTGTTGCATAGACCTGCCGATTTTTGAGTATCTCGTCTGATTGCTTAAGAAGATTTTGATCTCCAGGTCAGGCACAACGTCAAAAAATTGGAATTTATCGATCGCATTGACATCGCACTTGGAATATTCAAGCTTACAGCCGGTTTGGTTTTCAAAGTCATACATGTACTGTGATTGTTTATTCTCAATAACACTTTCCGGTTTGTGGCAGTATCACAATTCTTTCACGTCAAATCCATATTTCCCACCGAGATACTAGATGAGGTTAACCGTGGCGCCACATCGAGTCTATTCCAGAAAGCATTTAACCGGTGCTCAAGGACGGTCATGACTTAAACCGCCTTTCCGTTTAATCTAATCCCCAATATACTAGATTATTATTACTATCAATATTATTATTATTATTTTTATTTTCTTTGATTTCTGGCGTTTACACATTTCTTTCCGGGTCCCGCCTAGGGACCTAAGGTTAGAAATGGGGTCATGACACTTTCCACTGACGAAAAAAAAAAAAAAAAATTACATAGATAAAGCCCTTCGAAAAGTGTGGGCTGTAATTGTCAGAACAATTTTTTGTATCTCCTTGAGGCATGGACTTCCAGGAATCCCTTCAATTAGTCTACTGCAATATTTTCCAACCTGTCATAGGGCTCCAACTACAACAGGATTGTTGATGTTCCAATATGCCACATTTTCGAGATTTCTATTTCAACAACAACAATAATAATAATAATAATAATAATAATAATAATAATAATTGTGGGCTGTAAATTCTTTAAGTCATGGGCTTTCAACATGAAAGTAATGTTAAATTTTATACAATTTAAAATTACATTTTTCTTTAATTTTAATTTCGGTAATTGGAGTTTATTCAGCATTTTTTTTTCTTTTTTTATTTGACTATTACTTTATATTTTTAAATATATTTTAATTTTATTTACACACTCCCAGCGGAATGTTCCGTGATTTTTAAGACCATATTATGTATCTTTGCCGGTATATATATATATATATATATATATTTCATTAAAAACGACAGACAAGGTACTACTTGTGTTCTATCAAGAGCTTTCTTTTCTGGAAAAAGGGTGTGTGAGAACTGTCCAAATATTTTATATTTCCGAGCGCTTTCAGCTATAACTTTAGCCATTATCAAGGCTATATATATATATATATATATATATATATATATATATATATATATTACGTTTTTTAAGCTTATTAACATGTAAAAACACCTGGTACATACGGGCATTATATTCTGAGAAATGGATAAAATATTTCGTCGTTGAGTATATATATATATATATATATATATATATATATATATATATATATATATATATATATATATATATATATGTATGTATGTAGTGTGTGTTCTGCGTCGTTTGATGTATATATATATATATATATATATATATATATATATATATATATATATATATATATGTGTGTGTGTGTGTGTGTGTTTGTTTGTTTGTTTGTGTATGCTCATGGCTAAGGATCGCATTGGGATTAACTTTTTCTATTTTCCTTTCTTCCTTTCACACATGGGTACAGGTGGACTAATTCGACTATGTTATTTTTTTTGACGAATATTTTTTACTTTGCGTTTTAGGACCCTGTATTATTAAGACGTTGAAAAATGACCCTCACTATAGAATTTATTTTAATTTTCTTTGTTTATTTTCCTTTGTTTGATGAATTCCTTAGTGGACATTCCATTATCTTGTAGTGGGGGGGATCTAACCCATAAAACCTGATTACTATCACTCTCATTGTCGTCAGAAAATTGAATATTTTTTGTCAGACGCTTTTGAAAATGTAAGCTATGCCAAAATTTATACTACTTAAAATTAAATTTTTCTTTGATTTTATTTTAAGTCACTTTGAGTTCATTTAACTTTAATATGTTCATTCGATTTTTCCGATAACTTTCAATGCCCCCCTCTGACATATTAACTGGTAGGGGTCATTGCGACTTATACTCAGAGCTTTCTTATAGTCAATACCATTTCCTTATCTGTATTCCCCCACCCACCCAGAATATATTAAAGCATGAGAAACACTTGAACTATGGACATCTGTATATATCCCTCTCTATCTCATGGGTATGACCAACTCTTTAGTCTGAGTCGACAGTCCTTCTAGTGCTGGTACCCTGAAAAATATTACCCATAGTCTGTCAAGGATGAGCGCAAGAAATTTAAATCTCAATGATGAAGAACAAATATTCCTACTGGATTGGCAATCACCCGGGTCAACAAGGGCCGAGTACATTAGATAAGAACCATTTTGGGGTCGAAAAATCTCTCACTGGAAAAACTCTTCCAGTAGAGATACCTGGCCACCAAAGCCAGACTATTTCCAACCTTGGGCAAAGTTAGTCAATGCCAAATCAATTTATTTGCAGAAAGAGAAAGGAATGGTCTCTCGGCAAAGAGTATCAATAAGTCATGTTAAACTTTTCGCCCCCGCACTTGAAAAGCCGCAATAGAACATCACAGATCAGACAAACTAAATATGAGGAACTATAGCAGGAACTGAAATAAGACCCCATATGCTTGCCAATGACCGCAGGGACATCGTGCGAAACAGAAAACTTTCAAATTAAGAAAGAAAATAAGACAGAATACAATAACCCATCAATCAAAGAATAAAGATATAAAAGTAGAAATAAATAATATAACGGATAATGAGGAAAAACTAAAACAAATGAGATACGACATAATAATGTGCCAGGAAATAAAACCAAAGAATATACCGGTGACATAAATTGCAGTTATCCAGATTAAAAATATTAACATTAATAATAAATAAATAAAATACATGAAAATATTCGCGCTAAAATTAAACTAGCACATCTCAAACAAAACTCCGTTAAGGCCAAAAATTAACAAATGCCTAAATTGCTGAACTATAAGAAAAATATCACAATTGAAATGAAAACTGATTTAAAGATTAAAAAGGGTTGAACATACTGAAAATAAAACAGAGATGAATTGATGAATAAAAAAAGAAATGAACGTCAAAATGAAAAATAAATTTAAAATGAAGAAGAAAATAGAGAACAGAAAAAACAATTAAAATATGAAGGAAATGGCGAACATATTGCGAAAGACAACGGAATGAGAGCAAACACAAAAGGAGAATTTATAAAAAAAAAAACAAAAAATGAAAAAAAAAAGACTAAAATAGATGAAAAAACAAATTGCACAAAATCAAATGAAATAAAAACAGAAATACTTCTAAAAATAACAACAAATAATCATTAGAATAATAACGTGAAAACAACCTAAGAAATAACATTAGAATATTAACCGTAGAAAAATCAACCACTGTAATAACATCAGTTATGCTAAAAAATTAGTAGTATCCCTACAATAAGCAAGGCGAGAGTCGATAACATCAATTGGGCACCTCGACCTGGTGTATTGGTTACCAAGCTTGTCTTGCTAAGTCAGTTACTACTGAAAAGTGAGTTCGATCCCCATGCTTTCGGGCGTGTGCCACATCTAAGCTACGCTTGGAAAATAAGGGCACCTCGAGGTGGTATAATGGTTAGCAAGCATGACTCGCTTCAACAATTACGACTAAATAGTGAGTTCAATCCTCACTGGGTGCCCCCTAATTTAGGCCTTGTGCCACATCTAAGCTACGCTTGGAAGATCGTTATGGGCACCTCCAGTTGGTGTAATGGTTAGCAATCTTATCTCGCTAGAACAATTACGACTGAGTAGTGAGTTCGATCCTCACTGAGTGCCCCATACTTTCGGCCTTGACATTGATCTAGTATCGTGCATTGACATGTAAATTCTGTCTACCGAATTGGAAATAATACCCTGATAATATTTATAAATAGTGATAATAAATTATCATAATAAATAGTGATAATGATTATAATAAATAGTGATAATAAATAGTGATAATGATTATAAATAATAATAATAAATAGTGATAATGATTATAAATACTGATAATATTTATTAATAGTGATTTTCCAAGCTACGCTTGGAAAATCACTATTAATAACATCAATTAAATAACCAGAGAAGAAGAAGCCACAGGAATGACATCAATACATTAATGAGGAAAATGCTCCAACAATATTAAAATTAATAAAATAAACAATGGAAATAATGTCGCATTAATAACATCCATATATGAACCGAGAAAATACAGACTGTAATAACATCTTTATCATATGAGGAGACAATTCAGCGCGGGAATAAACGCAACACAAAAAAGAACGATGAAAATGAAGAATACAGTAAAAATATCACTGTAATAAATGATACAGTCAGTATTGCGATAAGCGAGGTAAATGCAGCAACAATATAATCACCTTGGAAAATTAATACACGTTAATAACATCAGCTCAAAGAACGATAAAAAATACAGAGTCAATAATAATATCAATAAAATATACAAGAAAAAGGCTGCAGTAATAACAGGAATACATGAAGCGTGGGGACATCGTTACGACAATAACATCAATATATTCATCGAGATAAAAAGAAGCTATATATTAATATCAATACACTAACTGAGGAGTTCAGCTATAGTTATACGTTAATTGCATTAATGAAATATCCGAGGAAAATAAAGACAATAACATCAATACAATCATCAAGGAATATAAAGGCGAGGTAATAACACCAAGACCATAAGAGCGGAAGCTGCATCGACTGTAATAACAGGAATGCAGTAACCAATGCAGTTACAGTAATAACATTCATTACAATGACCGAGAAAAGCCGAAGCTAAATAATAAAAGAACAATTGATATCTAACATATATTATCAGATTATTATTATCCAAAAAAATAAAATAAAGTAAAATAAAAAATAAAACTGACATCCAGAAAATCGGTTGAGTTCTAGACATTTTCCTCTCCTGTAGCTATCTGACATATTTATAAGTCTGCCATTCGGCTTTGAATATTGCAGCTGCATATTGTCTGCTATATATTTAGAAACTGTTGATAGAATCCAAAAATATGCAACAGTATTAGTGCTGACCTGGCATGCTTGCTTATTTCACTTTCTCTCGGCCATAATGGAGCTCTTCTGTGCCATTTTATAAATATTATCAGGGTATTATTTCCAATTCGGTAGACAGAATTTACATGTCAATGCACGATACTAGATCAATGTCAAATAAATCTAGAGTTGAGTTAGGTAGATCGATCCGTAAGTTCTCTGCTAGAATGTTTTATCTCCCATTTCTTGTCTCTCTTCCGGCTCCATGTTTTCCAGCCAGCTTTGATCATCAAAAGTTTACATGCAATGTCAATCGATATCTTGTGTCCACTTTGATTTCTCTT